CGATTCTATTCCGTTGGGGGTAATCGCCAACCCTCAGGGTTTCTGTTTGCGGTCGCTCTAACACTCGGCCTTCATAGCCACCAATGCGACATGCAGACCCCTGCACTCAGGCCAGCCCACTGCACAAGCACATGGGTCAGGGATCCAAACTCTGCATTCGGCTTGGGCTCCACCCCAAGCCACATTCCCCACCCGTCCCCCAAGGACAGGTTCCTCAGCTCCTCACCCTCACTCAGGAATGAGCAGGGCATCACCCACAGGCAATTTTACGAGACTCACAGGTCTTCAGCATACTTAGGCTGCTGAACAGCTGCTCAAGGCTTCTCAAACTTAGCATCAGCACAAGCTTTTGCCTTTTCAGTTGGCTTTTCTCCTCCACCTAGCTGCTGGGCATACACACGCTGCTTTTGGCCACCAAGGCCCACTGGCCACCCCCAGATTCCCATCTCCTGGGGTTTACAAACGAAACTGTTCCACCCCCAGGGTCCCAAAACATATCAACCTGCAAGGTTCTCTGCCTTCTGGCAGGATTGTCAGTCCAAGTTCATCAGTCCGAGTCCATCAGTCCAAGTCCATTAGGCCAAGTTTGTTGGCCTCTCCCTGAATCAGCACCGGTGAGCTCCGAATCGTGGTCCTCTCAGGCTCTCCTTCACGCAAGGTCTCGTCCTGTAGCTTCCGGACCTTGTCCATCTCCTGTGCCGCCGTGGTGCCTCCAGCGTTGTCACAGGAAAACAGTCTGTTACTCCTTAGTCCCTCCAGGTATTCAGAGGGCTCCATACCTGTCTGCATGGATCATCCTGCCGCCTTATGCCAATTGTAAGGGTGTAGGGGCAGGAACTGGCCACAGTGCAGGTTCTCTGATCCCATGTAGACTGGGTAAAGGAAGAGTCAGAGTCCTTAGTGGGTTTTTTTGCAGGTCTTTTATTGGGGTTCACCAGGCATATGGCAGGCTGGGGGGCTGGGAGGCTGGCAGGCCTCCCAGCCCCCAGCAAGTCTTCACTCTATCTGAGCTCTCTGGAGTTTGTTCTGCTGCTTCTCGGCTTCTCTTTCGGCTTCGGCTTCGGCTTCGGCTTCTACTGCTGCTGCTGGCGTCCCCGTGACGGCGCCCTTAAAAGCAGTCTTAGCTCAGCTGAATCCCATCTACCTATGCCCACACCCTATTCCAGGTGCCCGCCATCAGGCATGCATTAAGGACAAGGATCCATCATCTATCCTGATGGCGGAAGGGCAGAAAAGCCTGATATTTTCTTTACTCTACAAAGGATCAGGAAGTGCAGGTTTTTACTCTACAAAGGATCAGGACACAGTGCAGGTTTTCTGATCCCATGCAGACCGGGTAAAGAAGTCAGAGTCCTCAGTGGTTTTGCAGGCTTTTATTGGGATTACCAGGTACAAGGCAGGCAGGGGTGCTGGGGGGCCGGGAGGCTGGCAGGCCTCCCAGCCCCCAGCGAGTCTTCATTCTATCTGGGCTCACTGGCGTTCTCTGCTTCTGCTTCTTTGCTTCTCTCTTGGCTTCTCTTCGGCTTCTCTTTCAGCTTCTGCTGCTGCTGGCGTCCCCGTGACGCTGCCCTTAAAAGCAGTCTTAGCCCAGGTGAATCCCACCTACCTATGCCCACACCCTATTCCAGGTGCCTGCCATCAGGCATGCATTCAGGACCGAAAGGGTCCATCATCTATCCTGATGGCGGGAGGGCAGAAAAGCCTGACATTTTTCCTTACCCTACAGGAGGGAATTAAGCTATTATTTTTTTTCTGTTAGCTTACAAACAGGAAGTGTTAATGACCTGCGACTAGTAGGTAACTGTAAAGGGCAGGAAGGGGCACAGTGCAGGTTTTCTGATCCAGCAGACTGGGTAAAGGAGGAGTCAGAGTCCTCAGTGGTTTTGCAGGTCTTTTATTGGTGTTCACCAGGCATATGGCAGGCAGGGGTGCTGGGGGGCCGGGAGGCTGGCAGGCCTCCCAGCCCCCAGCCAATCCTCACTCTATCTGGGCTCTCTGGTGATCTCGGCTTCTCTTCGGCTTCTGCTGCTGCTTTCTTGGCTTCTTGCGTCCCCATGACGCCACCCTTAAAAAGCACAGTCTTAGCGCAGGTGTACCCACTTCAGGTGCCCGCCATCAGGCATGCGTTCAGGATCACAGGGTTCCCTCATCTATCCTGATGACGGGAAGGCAGAAAAGCCTGATACCTTTTACCTTACCCTACAGTAACTTTATCTGCTGTTTCGGTCAGTCTTAAGCAATTTGTTGCCCTTTTCATTTTCATATGTAAATAATATAGTGAGAGAAAGAATTCTGGACAGACTTGATGTTCTTCTGTGGGCCTTCAAGTGAAACTGGTAGGAAGCTGGAAGGTATATCTAGGAAGTTGATGTGAAATGAAGAATGCATTTATCTATTGAATCCAGGAGTCTGTGGGTGTTGCTGTGTTGAATAGAGGGCAACTTTCTTTCTAACCTTAATTGGGACTGCCAAGATTCAAATATGAGTGGTCAACTGAGGGGCTATGGTTTGCCAGAAGTCTATTTGCATGAAAAACTAAGGATATTTCCTGAGCAGAGCAGGTCAGACAGGCATTTTAGCACAATGAAAAAATCTTTCGTTAAAAAAGGAAAGAGGAGCTTCTGAATATAGCACATATTCTGTATTTGAACTTGGATGTTCAGCAACTGAATCTAATTCCACTGCAACAGACTTTTGGATAAAAAAAGGGGAGATGTTTCAATCCAGATGTGGCAGTTTTCTTTTTTCATTAAGGTAATTAAAATACATATATACCACCTACTATCACCATGGTTCAATTTTTAAAAAAATACATATTATGCTGCAAAGTGGACCTAAAAATTGAATTACTTAAATTTTATTTTAAAGAGGATAAAACTTTTAACCAGCTTCAAAGAAAAACTCTCAACCATGTTGCTACTACTTGCTCTCATCTCTTTTCCTCTTTGTTCCCTCATTGTTGCTTACTCCCTATCTCTGGTCTTCTCTCCTACACAGTGCCTCACTATTTCCAACCACACTTTTTCTTAATTACATTAACTGAGTAGAGGTTTGGGTCACCTATGCCTTTGGGGAGGGGACAGGGAGAAGCATATAGGGAAGTAGACACTCAGGCTAAGTGAGACCTACCTCTGAAAATAAGGTCCAGGAAGACAGGGCTTTGTCTTATTTTCTGCTATATCACCCATCCTCTCCTCTCTGGAATGTGCCGGTGTCCAATAAATGTTCAATCAATGAATAAAATACAGGCAATGTATATACAGTCTCTGCTCTGACACACCACCAAGTGAGGGGGTAGTAGTCACTGCTCTTATTGGAGGTAATGATAACATCTCCCAAATCATTAAAGATTAAACTTCTGCAGAAATATGAGAAGGAAAAAAATACTGATGAAACACCATCTTAATCCAACCATTATCATACATTTGTTGTTATTCTTTTCCGTGTTTTATAATATGCATTTAAAATACATCAGTATTTGTAATCACAAAATTTTGGATAGGAAATATGGAACACAGTTTCAAAATAACCAGTACCTGTATCAGCAAAAACAAATTTAGGTGATGGTGCCTAAGTATGTCTGAAATAACCTTTGACAATCTATGCCAGTATAACAAAGCATGTGGTACAAATCACAGAAGACTTGCTGGTCAAGGAGATATAAAGTATGCATACTCTTGCTGGCTCCTACTTTGAAGGTATTAATGTTCTCATCAGAAAAATAGGATTGGGGTTTCATATCTCAAAAATCTTAAAGTCTGAAATTTAATGATCCTTAAAAAGATTTTGTCTTACAGTCTGATTGTAAAATCTTTCATATAATTTATATTTACATATATAAACGTAAATCCTTACATATGATAGTAAATATTAACTTGGATATAAGAGCTCCTCCCATGCAGAACTAGATTTTAGAAATTCACATAAAAAGACCATTTCTAAATTTTGAGGACCTTTTCTATTTTAGCCTGAAGGAACTATAGTAAGTCATTTACTAGGCTGACTGATTATTAGTAATTTAAAGCCCAACGCTAAATCTTTATTCTTATAAACAAAGCAAAATTAATTCAGAACAAACTGCCAACAACAAAAAGCTCAGAGTGATCTAAGGGACAGAGTAAACATAAAATATTAATTAGTTCATTGGCGCTAAAATGGGACAAAAATTCTATCTAAATGCTCCTATGCAGGGGTGAGTAACTGCAGGAAATTCTTCCTTGCAGTAGAGTTTAGGACCAATCCCCTTCCCCACTTTCTAAGTACCGAGCTACCACTTCCTCCTGAAGATAACTTACCAACCTGAAGCTTATTTCGTTAATTTAGGTATTATTTTTCTTTTGGCGGTCACAATAGAATTGTCTTGAATTAAATCTTTTTTTTTTTTTGTAATTGAATCTTAACCACCGTTTCTGCCATCCCCAGGTAGGTGAGCTAAAGGGCCCAGGGAGGTCTAAGGCTCCCTCCCCAGAGGAGAAAAGGAATCCGCTGTGAAGATTAACTTTATTGAAATTTTATCCTAAAATCATCAGAGATTCGAAAGGCCCCCCAAACTAATTCGTGCTGTAAACTAATTCGTTAAGGTGCCTAGAATTGTTTCCTAGCTTGGCGAATGACGCCCAACTCTTGCCAGTATCCGCACCCCAGGATTTCCAAGATAGTGCAGAAAAGAGAAGCTGACTACTGAACGCCTCAGGTTGCAAAGCGTTCTCCAGCGCCAAACGCCACGGTTCACCACCATCCCGTTAAACACGTTTATACGGCTAATGGCTGTAACAGGCTGCAAAACATGCACACAATAGCGACTTTCCCACAGTGTGTCGCCACCAGCAACAACCCACGACGCTTCGCCCCTGTGTTTGAAAAACTCCCGGTCCCGCCCCCACACTGCCTGTTCCTCAGCTCTCCACGGTCTCCCGGCGCCCCCTGCCGGGCTTCTCGCGTCAAGTTCTGGAGGATGGCTGTGAGTGACGTCACTTCTACGCGCGACCTGCGACCGGACGTTCGTCTGATCCACTTCCGCTCCCTTGTCCGCTTAGTTCCCACAGGTGAGGTAACGCGGTCTGAACCGTTTAGGGCCAGTCCTGCGGGAGGGTCGGTGACTCGCTACCGCCGCTCTGCTTTCTCCTTTTACAAGCAGATTTGGAGGAATTTGATGTGCAGCGGAGTCCCGTACCCGCGCAGTCCTTTCAGAGTCGTTCTTGGGGAAGGAAGAGGGCGGGAAGAGCCCATGGTTTGGAATCTGGGGTTAGCATGGTTTTTAGACGACTGGGATCGAACCAGACGCTTTAGCTAGACAAGCTAGTAAAGGAGCTCGGCGCTCCTCCAGCGTTTGTCGTTTTAGAGAAAATGCCTACCTTTTAAGCTGTAGGAGTTAAGTAGCAATATGAGAGGCATTTAGCTCTGGTTTTACAAGTCGTACCCGGGATTCTGATACCGTTCACATCACACTCAGGCTTATACTTGCCTTTTTCTTCTCAGTGTCTCAGAGATGCAGAGTAGACAGGAAGTTATGCATCACTTGAGAGCATGCAGTGTTAACGAGGATCGATCTCTTTAGTATGTATTATGAAGTCCTGACATTACTTTGCCCCTCCCCCTCCTTGCTGTTTCTAGGGACAACTGTTTTTCAGCTTTACCGGAGGAGTGCAAAATCCTCTTTCCATAAGACAAATGAGGTGAGAAATGCACTGCTGTCTCTAAAGCTCTCCAAACTTTATTTTCTCAGAAGATCAAAGGTGCTTAGCTTTTCCAATAAAATCTCTTCTATCAGGCGAGTGGTGAAACAATGTGAATTCGCTTCTATTCTTTAGACCTCATAAGCTACAGATACAGCGATTTTCAGTATATTTGTTAATTTCGAATTTTAACCCTTGAAAAAATGGTTTTGATTGAAAACGTCAATTTGAGAGATAGACTGAAGTAAATTATGGAATGTTTTTGATATTTGTAGATTGAAGCAGTGTGATACATTAGACTCCTTAGATATTTATCTTACTAAATGTTGCTAGAATTTTGAGTGGAGTTTGGGTGCTAAAAGACTACAGTATCATCGATATTCTTAAGATGAGACTGTGTATTAAAAATAGAAAAATCGATAAAGGTATTATTTATTTATTATTTATTTTCCATTACCTTTTGCACTCCCAGGCCGATATTTTTTAATTTCTTGCCTAATTGCAAAATACCACATATTCATTAAATATATCTTTTTCAGAAGTAGTACATAGCACTGTTAGTTTTTCAGCGATAAATTGTTATTCTGTTCATAATGCCCCCAGCCCTATAAATGTCCTCCTCCCACCCCTCTTTTTATGTAAGTGATATTCTATCCATGGTGTTAGGCATTATGCCACATAGAGTATTTTGGTCATCTTTCTATTGTGTTAGAGCTTTTTATTTTTATATTGTATAGAGGTATCTGTTTATAAATCATTTGTTGGTGGATACTTAGTTTCCTTTTTCCAAAGCTAATAATATTCTGATGGCCACATTTTTTTTTTTCCATAACAAATACGTATTTTTGTCCTTACATTTACTTTGGATATTCTTCCAAACATGAAATGCTGTGTTTAAGTATAATTTTGATGGTGCCAAATTCCCTTTCAAGAATGGTATTTGAGTGTTTCCTCCATTTCCTGGTATGCTCATGAGTTACTGTTGTCACAGTTTTTAGATTTAGCTGATACTACTCATACTGGTTTTTGGGTCAATTTATTGCATTTACAGTATTGTAATCAAAACTAGAATTTAGCTGTTGCAGGTTCTAAGTCCAATTCAATGCTTTTTCCCCCCTATATAAGTAGAACACTTAGTTTTAGATTCTTAGTAATATTATAAAACAAATGGTTTACTTCAGCAGTATTTGTTAAGTTAAATATTTATAGGAAGATCATATTTGAATGGGATACTCTACTATGGATAGGCATCAGAAATACAGGACTTACCAAAAGACACAATAGCTTAACTGAAGCCAGGGAGGCAAGAATGGGCATGGATATTGAGGGCCAGAGGTTTCAGAGGCAGTGGTGCCTAGTTGTAAGGTTGCAGAATAAAAGACATGGCTAGGAAAGTAGTTAGAACTGTGTGGTGAGAGCTTTGAAGGTCAGACTGAAGATAGTATTTTCTAGGTGAGAGCTAAGGAGGTCTTTAATCAGGTAATAAGAGGCAATTCACATCTTTGTTTTACAAGTATACTATGGTAGCAGTTTTGAGTGAGTGATATTTAAAGAAGCAAGTTAGGTGACTTGTCTGGGTGAAAGAATAGCAAAGAGTAGAGAGGTTGGATTCCAGAGATACTGAAGAAGCTGAGCCTATAATTTGATGACTGAGGTTGAGGAAGGAAGAAAGCAAAGCTCTTTTAGACTTCTATCATGAGTGACCATTAGGATAGTGATAGTGATTTCATTAATCAGAGGAGGAATAGTTTGGGGCCTGGGGAAGATGCTCAGTTCCGTTTTGGGCATTCGTGTGAAGGATATTTCCATGGACAATAAATATGCACAAAGATAAAATCACCTATGACACATTCAGGAGAAACCTTATTACTCTTTAGGAAATTTGGCATACATATATTTTTACTTACGTTTAGTCTGTCATTAGTTCATTTTCATTTGAACTTTCTGGGACTTGTTCAGCTGTATTTGTCGTCATGCTAATAATCTCAAGAGGGTATGTTGTCCTGAGTAGTGATGTTCAGACTTTGTGTACACTTACAATAAGGAGGTTTACACATGTACCTTCAATATGTGTATTTTTACTGAGAGTTCCATGATTGCCTTACTATTACATTATATATATTATAAAACATTTTAAAAATGGACATTTTCAATGACCAAGACAATTATGAAATAGAAGTTGCACTATTTTCTTCCTATGTACTATTATCTTGTGCTCTTCTTTCTGAAGCACTTCTCTACAAGTGTAGTGTTCTAGCCCATTATCCAGTAGAGGTCACCCTTTGAACATCTGTAAGATGGTTGAGTGTGCAAAGTGGAGTCTTCATTCTTTAGTAAGAAAAGGACCTTATTTTTAAGTTTTTGAATGTATGCATTTTTGGAAGCCTAGTTACAGAGTTGTATGGTATCATAGGGATGTGAAGAATAGTGAACTCAGAGTTTATGGCAATCTAAAGTATATTTTTGTTTTCTGATGTTTACTTTGCAAGTGTCCTACATTTCTGTTTGAGTGTTATTTGATCCCATGGTTTTGGAATCTGTCTAAGCATCTATAGATTTATTTGAGTTATAGGCATAATGCAAGTTTTTGTTAAATTGAAATAATCAAAAGGACAAAGAGACTTTTTTGATATGGTTTTGAAAACAGAATCTCAGGACCAGAGATAGTTCTGGTGAATTGGAACCATCTATTTTTTTTTTTCTATTTTATACTTAATTAGAAAAGAGGAAAGGGAAACACTCCCTTTACATGATAATAGTCCATTGTAAGTAATTTGAAATTAAGAACTGGGTTTGCTACAGATAAATAGTGTGAAAAATTGTACAATTTAAAAATATATACATGCATTGTGTAACTCAGAGCTCAAGTGGCTTAGGGACATAAATCAACCAATAAATTGAATAATGGAACACTTTTCTTTGGCTTTCCTCCTAAAATACTTCCTATGAATGGAGATGTTCGTTTTATTAGACTTATGGTTATTCTCATATATATGTTCATATATTTCATGCCTCATTTCTAAGTGACCAAAAAAATGAATTATCGAGATTTTTAATCACTTATATGAAGTTATGTGTATAATGAAACAGATGCATAGAGCCCTGAGTTAGTCCTTTGTAATGTGCTGGGGTAGAGGAGAATGGTTTATTAGCCATCTTAGGACAGATCCACATGTATATTAAATATCCCAACTAGATAATTTTGAAGACAGAAATTGGTTTGGAGTTGTTGGGTTACAACCAAAGGAATGATAGGGTGTACTGAGTGAGATGGGAAAATAGGAGCTGGGACTATAGAGGTTTATATAAACTAAAAATTAAGTTTCTAATGATAGCATGGGTTTAAAAAGTACCATGAATTTAGAAGAAAGTGTTTAAGGCAGAAATTAGGTGATCTGAAATGTTGATTTTCTGGGTTATTTTTAGAGTTTGGTAATAAGGCCTTGAGAATAGAGGCAAAGAAGTCTGGTATCTGTGGGCAAGAGCAGGGCCAGAAGTTAGAAGACAGGTGGAACTGAAAGTGTCAACTGCTAGGAGTAAACCAAAGGTTTGGACACCAGAACAAAGCAGAAATAGAGGGGCAACTGGTTTTTGGTGTCCCAAGCAGGCCAGACCACATAAAAATGGCAACATAAAGGTGAGAATGCTAAAATAGCGATGGTGTGATAGTGCTTTTTTTTATGTCAAGGTGGAAAAAGCCCAGGTCCGCAGACAGTAAGAAGCTGTGAGTTAAGAGAATGGGAGTGTGGCTGAATTGTAACCACAGCACCTAGAAAGCTGGAGTTTTAGATTTTTTTTTTTAAAGATCCATTTATTTACGCATACAAGAGCTGGGGTACAGGCCAGAGACGTGGGGGATGAGAGGATCCACCAGAGACAGAGTGGGGAACAGAACAGGCAGACTGAAACACACTGCTGAGGGGAGCAGCGGGCGAGACAGGAGAGGTCTGACTCACCATGTGGGTTTCTCCCTGGCTGGCCAGGCATCAAACTCATGCTGCAGAGGCTGTGGATTGCTTCATAGTGCTGTGCTTAACCCCTTGAGCCACCAGGGAGGCACTTTAATTTTGTGGGTTTTTTTGTAGAAATGACTAATGCCTATAGGGTCATAATATGGTCATTTAGCTGTTGAATACATATATTTGTATAATATTATATTTGTTATTTTACACAGCATTCTTAAAGGTTTGGGCTACCTTACCATTATGACACCAAGAAATCTCTTGTATATGAGAAGTAATTTTTTTTTTGGATCAAGATGTTGGATGACCCGATTTTCAGCAGAAATTCTTTCCAAATCAGTTTCATTTAGGTTTTTTGGCGCGAAGCATGATGATGTAGACATTGAGCCTTTGGAAAATGAAGAACTGCTGAATAACTTACTTACCATAGGAGTAGATGTTCACAAGGCAAAGAAACGGCAGCCCGGAGTTTTTAATAGAGTGGGTACTAATGAGCAGGGCCTGAAGATGTTCCTAATGTCCAAAGGAGCTAGCAAAAAAGTGATTGCAAGCATCATATCAAGATATCCACGAGCCATAACACGCAAAGTTGAAAGTCTCTCAGAACGGTGGGAACTGTGGAGAAAAATTATGACTTCAGATCTTGAAATTTTAAATGTTCTGGAACGTTCTCCTGAATCCTTTTTTCGTTCCAATGACAACCAAAACCTGGAGAATAATATAGATTTCCTCTACTCAGTTGGATTGTCAGATAAATTACTTCGTCGATTGTTAACCCATGCCCCTCGCACCTTCTCTAATAGTCTTCATCTGAATAAACAGATGATTGAACTTTTAAAAAAAGTCTCTTTGTCCTTGGGTCACAATGATCCTGACGATTTTATCAGGAAGATAATTTTTAAAAACCCATTCATCTTAATTCAGAGCACCAAACGGGTGAAAGCTAACATTGAATTTTTACAGTCAACTTTCAACTTGAGCAATGAAAAGCTGCTCATCCTGATATGTGGTCCAGGAGCTGAAATCTTAGACCTTTCTAATGACTATGCCAAAAAAACCTACATAAATATCAAGGAGAAGCTGTTTTCTCATGGGTGTACTGACGAAGAGGTCCATAAATTTGTCTTAAGCTATCCAGATTTGATCTTCATGGGAGAGAAAAAATTTAGTGATAAAATAGACTGCCTCATAGAAGAAAACATTAGCATTGCACGAATACTTGAAAATCCTCGGATTTTGGATTCAAGCATAAGTACTTTAAAAAGTCGTATAAAACAATTGGTAAATGCTGGCTATGACTTAAGAACATCAAATCTCGCTCTTCTATCTTGGAGTCAAAACAGATACAAAGCTAAGTTGAAAAAGCTAAACATTGTATAGAACATTGTTCTGGCAAATTCTAAAAAGTCAGTCTTATAATGTGGTGTTATCTGTTTTTTTATTTTTTTTATTTTTAGCCTTTCAAAGAGGAGAGGTTTGATATCTTAACCACACACACACACACACACACACACACACATACATACATATGGTTTTTATTTTATGAATCTTTATTTTAAAGATTCATAAAAGCTCATTATCAGTATGTTCAAGTAGTCTTCCCAGCTACCTGTTTACTAGTTTGAGTTAATGCAACATCCTATTATGTGATATAGGTTGTGGCTATTATGTGAATGTTAGTTCCCAAGTCAAGGCAAAAACAATGTGTAGAAAGAAAGTACAAAATAAGCTTTTTGTGGTTTCTGTAGTGATTACACAATTGACGGATTCTTTTAGGTGATTCTATATGCTGTCATGCCTTTGATTGGCAACCTGTTATTCATACTTATTTAGTTATGGTTCATCTTCAAAATAAAATGCCAATTAAAATCTGACAAAATAGAAAGGAGAGTATGTTCATCCCAATTTTACATATTCCGTTTAAACCATTAGTGGGCTCTTCCCACCCTCCACTCTATTCACAATTTAATGGGAAGACAAGGGCAATTGTGGTAAGCAAAATAATTACCACCCAAATATGTCAATATCTTCCTTCCCAGAACCTCTGAATATATTATATTACAGAAGGACTTTGCAGATCTGATTAAGTTTAGGACCTCAAGATGGGGAGATTATCCTGGATTATTTGAATAGGCACAATAATAATCATAAGGGTCTTTAAAAGTGGAAGAGTGAGGTTAAAGAGGAGGTCACGGTCATGCAATGGACTAGATTCACTTTTTCTGGCTTTGAAGGAAAAAATACATTATGGACTAAGGAAAGCAGATGGCATCTAGGAAATGGAAAAGGTAAAGAAACAGATTCTCCCTTAAAGCTGTCGGAAAGGAATGCACCCTACTGGGACTTAGCATTTATTCCTTGAGACCCACAGAACCATAATAATAATAAATTTATGTTGTCTAAAAGCTACTGAGTTTGTGATAATTTGTTAAAGTGGCAAATAGATTAATATAGTAACTAAATGATTAATTGCATTATAGGTGGAGAAGTCACAGAATAGAGTGTTTTTAGTATTTATGTGTATTTCTTAGAATAACTGCCTTTTTTATCCACTGGTAATATGGAATAATTTATAAATTAGGTAGATAAAAAATTAAATGCATATAATACATTATAAAGGAACATTTTGGTTAAGGAATATAGTTTAAAAAACAGTGATAGTTTCTGTGTCTAATATAAATGAAGAACAAGGATTCTCCAGAGGCATTGACTTACAATGTGATAAATCAGGTATCTTGAAGAGATTCACAATCTAGCTTTGATATAAAGTGAAAGAAGTCAGACAAGTTACATGACCACAGTACTTTTAATTTCCAGAGGATTTTGTATTAAAAAAACACGGTGATGTTCAGCTTTAAAATCTTACATTCAATGATGCCTCAAAAAACCCCCAACTCATTTTATATAAGTGAGACTGTATAATATGTGGTCTTTTATGACTAATTTCTTTCACTTAGTGTAATGTTTTCAAGGTTCATTCATGTATCAGTATTTCATTCCTTTTTTTAAAAAAATTTTATTTAAATTTTATTTTTATATTCCCCATACAATTACAACCCCCTTATTCTGACCCCAAGCCCTCCTTTCCCCGCCCTCCACCCCCCATAGAGTGTCTCTGGTTCGTAGTTGTTTGTTGATTTTGATATTTTCTTTCTTATAGTTATTCTTTTTCCTGGTCCCTTATTTAAGTTTTCTAGATTCCTGCTATGAGTGAGACCATCCGGTATTTTTCTTTTTCTTTCTGGCTTATTTCGCTGAGCATGATCCCTTCCAGCTCCATCCATGTTGCTGCAAATTGCATGTGTTTATCTCTTTTGAATGCTGAGTAATATTCCATGGTGTATATGTACCACATCTTCTTGATCCAGTCATCTATTTTTGGGCATTTGGGTTGTTTCCAAAGCTTAGCTATTGTAAATTGTGCTGCTATAAACATAGGGGTGCAGGTGTCCTTTGGAGTTAATGTTTCTGTGTCCTTTGAATAAATACCTAGGAGTGGAATTGCTGGATCTTATGGAAGCTCCATCTTTAGCAGATTGAGGAATCTCCACACAGCTCTCCACAGTGGTTGGACCAATTTGCACTCCCACCAGCAGTGCAGGAGAGTTCCTTTTTCTCCACATCCTCGTCAACATTTGTTGTTGCTAGTTTTTTTAATATGTGCCATTCTCACTGGTGTCAGATGGTATCTCATTGTAGTTTTGATTTGCATTTCCCTGATTGCAAGTGATGTTGAACATTTTTTCATATGCCTGTTGGCCATTTGCATTTCCTCTTCAGAGAATTTTCTTTTTAGCTCTTCTGCCCATTTTTTGACTGGATTATTTTCTTTGTTTTTGTTGAGTCTCATCAGCTCTTTGTAGATTTTTGTGATCAGTCCTTTATCATTAGTGTTGTGTGCAAAAATGTTCTCCCAGTCAGTGGGGTTTCTCTTTGTTTTGGTTATTGTCTCTTTTGCTGTGCAGAAGCTCTTTAATTTGATGTAGTCCCAGCTGTTTATCTTTGCCTTCACTATCACTGCTTTGCGTGATGTGTCTGTAAAGATGTCTTTGATGTGCATATCATGTAGTGTTTCACCTATATTTCCTTCCTTTTTATAGACAAAGAATGATCCATTGCATGGATATAGTAGAAGTAGTGGGAGTAAGTTTTTTTGTCATGGCTTAAACCATTAATTTCTGAAGTCTTACTGAGTTGTGTGGGGGTATTGTCTGAGGTACTACTTCAGAATCTAAAAAGTTTATAATGAGCTTGAGGGAAGTGGGGGAAAGAGATAAAATTTGCTGTCATGAAGATTATAGCTGGGCTGATAAGAGATGGTATAGAAGCAGCAGTTACAATGGCTAATGAGAATGTGGGAAGTGCAGATGTACTGTAACAATTGTTTGATGGTGTGAGGGGCAAGTTTAATATGTCAAACTTAAGAATTGGATCTGAGTAAGAGTCAATTCTTCTTTAAAAATTATAAATGTTTTAGGATTCTTCACAAGTAAAATGAAAATTCTTGCATAAAATGGGAAAAAGATGGAAAAGGGTTGCAGAAAGAAAAAAGTATTACCTCCCAGTGAATTAATTATATTTTAGTGACTTGCTGTTTTTCTTTGCAGAATGTAACTTTACATAAACGAAATATATAAAAACATGCCTTTTGTAGTTTATATATTTAAACTGAGATCAAACTTTTAAGTTGCTTTTTAAGCCCAGTACATCTTAATATAATTAGTATTCTTTGGTAGTTCATGACTTACAGAATCAGTGAAGTGTTTACCTGTAACAGTTTTTAATGGTTGCATGAAATTCTGCCATTTGGATAAACCATAATTTCTTGAGTGGCAGTAAGTTTTAGTATATAGAAATTAAAAAAAAATCCCACCCAGACTAGTTCAGTATTCCGTAATATTATACATACAACCTTTTTTATTTATACTATTGCCATACTTCTTAAGTTAAAAATTTGCTGTAGAAAATGTGACCACCAAGAGTATTGCATTTTGCTGTTTTCCAACTGTCAAAGTTGTCTGCAAAACTTCATTTTTCAAATGAAAACCATGTGCATTCTGAATTACTGGCATAAACTTTAGGACTAAAAAAACTGTAAGAATTAAGACAGTATCAAGGAATAAAGAGAAAAAATGAGTTTCTTCATGAACTTAGTAGGAGAGAATAAAAATGAGTATTTATGAAAGGGTTTATTGGGTTATTTAAACTAGTCATTTCTCTCCTTAAATCATAATTTCTAAGGTCTAGGTAGGTATGCAGTTTATAGCTATATCTAGTAATACGACTTTTATGCAACAAACTTGATTGTTGGCAACTTCCTGGTTAGACTGTACTATTCCACCTTCACGCAGAAGTATGGGCTGGTGGCTATGAAGAGGAAATTCTCTTGAAGGTAAAATCTTAGCCACAAACTTTAATAGTAGACATTCATTACACAATCCAGGAAGAGCTTGACAAAAGCAAGGAGGAAGAGTAGGACTGTATTTTTTAAGAGGTATTTTGGGAAGAAATCATAGAAGTACAAATCAGCATTGGAGAGGGAAGGAATGAGCTATGGACACAGTCATCATGGTCCCCTAGGGATCATCTCTGGTGGGACTAGGTTTTGGGTTTCATTGGCTACCAAATAATGTGGGAAACGGGTGTTCTAAAGTAACCAGGAGTCCCTTGGATGATGCTGTTTATTCACTCCTCAGTTTATTCCCTGTTGACTCAAGAACCTGGTTTGGTTCAGAGCTGCATTAGGATCAGTTTTGAGGAGTTGAGGAAGGCACCTATGGTGAATGTCAACCAGGCCATCTCTTATCTTGTTCATTTTCATGTCTCTGGTATTCTCCCAAATGACATTCTTGTCTCTTTACTTCTTTTTTCAAGATGTCTTTGAAAAAAGACATACAAAGAAATACCTTTGCTTTCATACTTACTTTTTCAATTCACAAGAGATTGTTAATTAAAAATAAACACTGCATATAACATTTTTAAGTCTTGACTAATTTTTGAATGGAATTTGGTAGAGAAATACTGATGGAGGGCCTCCCCGGTGGCGCAGCTGTTGAGCGCTGGGTTGCGAAGCTGCCCGCGGCCTCTGCGGCGCCCGTTCGATCCCCGGCTGCTCCCCGGCCACCGGAGGAGGGTCCCACATGGCGTGCAGACCTCTCCTGCCGCCCGCTGCTCCCCTCAGCAGTGTACTTCGGTCCTTCTGCCTGCTCTGCTCCCCGCTCTGGCTCTGGTGAATTCTCTCACCCTCCCGCGCTTCTGACTATACCCAGTGCATGTATAAACAAAACAAACAAACAAACCAGCAAACAAATAAATAAAGCATGCCTCTATAAAAAAAAAAAAAATACTGATGGAATCCCATTTTCTGTTTCAATTTCAGTATTAATCAGGCAGGTATTTGGGAAATTTGTTTTCCTTAATAACAATATTGTGTGGAGACTAGTGAGCTTATGTACATGAGTTACTTTTTGTTATGAAAAAAGATGATGGTATGATAGTTCTTCCATCTCCATTTTGAATATCTCTGTGCCTCCTTCACTACTGTCAAGGAATGTTCAATTTATGGTGACCATGATTATCTTTTTGTGTTTTATAATGGAATGGCCTTATTTTTGAGAATGCACAGTCATTATAAAAGCCTGGCAACAATACAAAGAAAGTCCCAGCTAATCTATTTGTCACAAGGTTGAAGAAATATCCTTTTATGCCTGGTTCACAAGAGTTTTGTTTCAATCAGAGGTGAATGATAAATTTTGAAAAAAAAATCCTTTTTAAAAACCACCTTTTAATTTTTTAACAATTCAGTGACATCAGTTGATTTCTTAACATCATCTTTTGTTCTGCTGAAATAATACCTATGTCATATTTAAATGGGATTCCATCAGTATTTTACAAATATTTTTGCTTAGGACTTTTTATTAGCATTCACAAGGTGGATTCACAAGTTTTATATATAGTATATATATACACTATATAAAGATATATACTATAAACTATAGTACATATATATTTAGTATAAATATGTGCACATATAGTATATATACATTGTATTTGTACTATATATATGTATTTTTTTTTTTCTCCTAGGAAATGCTGATTAATCTGTAGTGACAGAAAGTAGATCATTCCTTGTCTGGGATGGGGGTGGGGTAAGATGGGGAAAGCCATGAAGAATGTACTACAAAGGGGCATAAATAAACTTGATGGTAATCTTCATTATGGTATTAGTTTTGTGAGTGTATGCATAGGTCAAAATTATCAAATTGTATTTTTTTAGAATGTGGAATTTAGTATACTTCAATTATACCTCAGTAAAGTTGAATAGCCAGTCAACACTGACTTGAAGTGCTGTGCTGTCTTTATTTGATACTAATTTTCCACAGGTGAATGTGTATGTTTCTAGATAATCTTCAACTGTATTAATAATGTATTTGACTTTATATTTCTATATTAATATCAGGAATTAAACATTTTTCTCTTCAGTAAAGATGTTGGGAGACCTGGAAGTCACCAGTAAAAAAAATACCCATGGATTCATACTCATACACCATGATAAACTCCAAAGGGAACAGTCTTGAGCTCTGTAAGACATTCAGCCCGTGCCTTGGCCTTGCACTTAATGACCTATACTTGTGTATTAAACACTGGCACTAATTTGAAGATGTTTTCTGTTACAGAGGGTTTCCTGGCATTTTACCGGGCAGGGACTTACCAAGAGAGCAGCTACCCTCTGTTTCTAGTCCATGAGTGCAGATAATTTTGCTTATAATTTTTTCCACAAGAAAACAAGACCTCTGATGAAGTACCATGTCCCATGGAGAATTAGTGTGTTTCCTTGTAAATCATTGGATTTACTGTCTTGGTAGCTATGCAACACTTTTTCTAGGGAAAGTAGTATGCATGTTAGAGGTATTTTTGCCTTCTTATATTTAGGGGGTCCTGATTGCCACGTTAAGTAAAAGTAAAGTGTCTATAGCAAAATTAGTGCACTTAGACCAGCATTTTCCTGCTTTGCATGTGTGAGTGTATCTTGTAGACCTGCCGGCTTCTTCAGAATGCCTGCTTCTCTTGAGTGAAGCTTTATGCCTGCGTGGCATGATACATGTGGCTGCATTTTATTAATTTACCTAAATGTGATAAACAATTGGCTTAAATAGTCTTTAGTGTTTATGATGAAGAACTTAAAGTAGTTAAAAGTATGTAAATTATTAACAGTTTAAAGTAATTAACAACTGATGAATTAAAATTTTATCCTAACCACTCTTACTTGCACAGAACATCATGAACTGCAGGGGGAACTGTAGATGTTTGCTTCTACAGTTTTTTAAAATCAGCTGGCTATAAGTCTGGTTGATAATTCAAACTAAATAAAGAATCCTATAAA